GCCTTTCATTGTCTAGGCTCCACTTTTAGTGGGTCTGCTTCTAAGAATTAACCCTAGGTAACATTGGAGAACCTACCAAGTGCCTGGCCTTGTTCCAGATCCCAGGATTCATCAAAGAACAGAAGTATCATTACCCTGGGATTGGAAGGTTAGCTCAGTTTTTTAAATGCTTACTGCTCTTACAGTGGACCTGAGTTCATTTCCAAACGTCATCAAAGGGCTATTCACAACCTCCTGGAACTCTGGCATGAAGGGATTTAATGCCATCTCCCAGATTCTACATGCATGTCCAGTTGACTGGCATGTACTACACACACATAAACATACACATAAGTAAAAACTAGAACTAAACCATAAACCCGTGCCCTCTGTCAAAAACAAGGTTGAGCCGTTGTGAAGTTGTCATAGATGTCCAGTGGTGGTTTGTGTTCTGCTTTTCTATGGCTGTGACAAACCTCCAAGACAAAAATCAACTTGAGGAAGAGTTTTCTTCATGTGCAAATCCCAGGTCACATTCCATCACTGTGGAAGTTAGCATAGGAACTCAAGGCAGGAACTTGAAGCAGAAACTGAATCAAAATCCTTGAAGTAATGCTGCTTACTGGCTTGTTCAGATTGCATTTTATATAGTCCAGGACCAACTACCTAGCTTTTGGTGCATGAAGAGTGAGCTGGACCCTCCTACATGAATCCTTAATCAAGAAAATGCCCTACAGACTTGCCTACAGTCAATTTGGTGTAAGCGGTTAATCAATTGAGGTTCCTCCTCCCAGATAATTCCAGCTTGGGTGAAATAAAAAAAACTAAAATTACAGTGGGGACAGGGTTTCAATAAAAATAATATCCTATATAGGATCACCTGTTTGCTCATTGGTTGGTTCTCAACTGAAGTGCTCTTGGGAGAAGTTACGAAACTTCCTGAACTAGAGCCTAGCTGGATGAATCCTTCATGTCCTGAAAATCTTCTTTCAAAAATGACAGCTCACCTTCACAGTAAAGCAATGCTAAGCAGCCTAATAAAACACTCAAGAGACCTGTCCCACACCCACACTGTGGATCACCTGTCACCTACCACTTGCCCCTTCTACATGAACACTGTCTTTTGTGACTCTGCAGAGTGTCTCCCCTCCTTGTTCCACAGAACTTACACAACTCAAGGTTGGTTTGCAGTTTGAGACTGTTTGTAGTTCTCTGATGGTTTCTACATGGAAACAATTTCTAATTTTATGTAATAGCCCTCAATAAATGTCAGTTAGATATGGCGATCACTGCAGAGTCCAGTTCTCCACTGGGGTTAAAGGGAGAGTGCAGTTGAGTTAGAGCAGAAATACAGATTATGGGATGGTGAACACTAGACTGAGCCCTGGGTCCTCTGTGCAGAGGCTCTTCCTCCTCAAATTCCAGATTCACATAGATGACACTGAATTAAAGACATAGGTCCAGGAGTAGCAGTTTACAGGTACAGGGTCAGGGGTTCCCCTTGCTGTATAAGTGGAGTCTGCCTCAGTACTCGTCTCTCTACACTTTATGACCCTGATCTGGTTTAGGCTGATGGGCTTCTCTAAGAATTACCAATAGAAGACAGAGAGGAAGAGAAAAGTTAGTTGGATAATGGAAAGATCAATTTTTGGGAACCATGAAACCCTACAACCTAACTCCTAGCTCTAACCCAGCTCTTTGGTTTGGTATACATGGAGTAGTGTTGGGACAACTTGATTCACCTTGATCCGTGTCCTGGCCTTGCTTAAAATGTTCTTCTGAGTCCCAACACAGGGCACAATATGTCAGCTATTCTAGAGCATTTTGATTTCAATATATCTACACACATTTAGAAATTATGTGGAACTAAATGGTAAACCTGCCTACGTAGCTTGTATCAATCCATACTGACTATCTTAGGAACTGAGTGTATTGAGATCCTTACTTTATTGAAGATAATGTCAAATAATAGCAACCAGGGGTCAGAAATTGTTCTTGAAGATCAATATACGGTCCTATCAGTGGGAACATGCAGGGCTTGGGAATTCTCATCCTCATGACTGTCTTTAGTAGACAATCATGTTAGAGACACCACTCCACTTCTACTAGCAGAACTGAGATCTCAGACACTTCAGGGCTTTGCAGCCATTACTCTAGGTGACTCTCTTTTCATACTCTCTGTGCTCATGACCAGTGTGCTCCATTCACTGCATCTGAAGCTTTATCTCAGGGAGTCACTTCCGTGTCTGAAGGGCCTGTGTTCCAAGTAGCATCCCAGAGGCTAGGCCTGGATGCTTTGTTGCTGAGATACCACGTGTAGTGTGAATATAGGTGAAGTGCAAGATCAACCCCTGCCTCTCCTCCGGTTTGGACCCTGATACAAAATATATTGGCCTGGATGTTAGAGTGCAATGGATACAGAAAGGGATCAGCAGGATAGTGAAGAGAGATAAGTAAGCTCTGCACATAGGTAGAAATGAGAGGACTAGGACACCTCTGCTAAGCTCACATGTTCTCTTTGGAAGAAGAATGATGCCATGTCCTGTTGTTGAAGAACCCTGGGGTTTGCTGGAAAATGTGCTCTTTACCTAAGGCAGGTAGTCTGTTCCACAGCAAACATACAAGAAGACCTCCCACTACATGCTTTAGAAACCTGATTTTCCTGCCCTGTTTCCCTCTTTAGGGGCTCCTCTCCTAGTACTCCTAAAGAGTTTGATAATCTGCCATGTGCATTACCTCTGGGTTCCAGAGAAGCAAACAGGAGAAAATGCTCAACTGTACTCTAGACCCCAAATGCAGTCTGTCCTATGAACATTCTGTGGGAACTGGGGGAGAATCTGTCCCTCGGGTATTGTAGACAGTGTCTAGACTGTCAATTAATTTAGTTTTACAGAGTTACTATTGATTTCATCTACACTGTTCCTCTTGTTCTCTCCTCTGTGACCCTCTTTGTAGACAGGTGTTAACATAGGATTCCTTTACTTCATTTTGAAGGATTTCCAGTTTCATTGAAAGTGATTGGATGCTCTGAAATCCTGTGCTTATGCTTTAGTGACTACTATGAAATCTTCTAGGGATTTAAGCAGTTTATCAACAGGTGTTACCCAATTTGTATATTCCACACAACTTTTCCTTACATAAACCCACTTCCTGTCTGAACTTCAAATACTTAGTTCAGATTTCTGTAGAATGGTATTAGCATAGTACAGTTTTGTTCATCCCTTATAATATTTAGTTTTTAAAATATGTTCATTTATTTATTTGATTTTAAAGACTTTATTTGGAGACAGGGTCTCAGGATGTAGCCCACACTGATCTTGTACTTGCAAATCTCCTGTTGGCAGGGCTCCTCCTGTTGGTATTACTGATATGTTATAGCCCCTAGTCTGTCAGAAACCAAGCATGGATTCTAGCAAATTTGGTGAGAATACCACACACATCCATATTTGGACAATGACAGAAACAGTCCCTACTTGTATCAGTGAATGTCAATAACAGAAGACATCGACACCAGACTCAAACACAGAACTGAGAACAAATATAATTCCTGAACTACCAGGAATCTAAACACCTCTTGACGGAACATCAGACTCAAGCCTGAACAGGCTGACTGCCAACATGAAAGAACAGCACAGACACTGGACAGACCCTACAAATGCCTGAGATCTTTTGATCACATGTCCTGGTGAACAGGTTTATTGAGAGAAAAGGGATTAGGCGCTAGCAAGATGACACAGGGGGGAAGGACTATGTGAGAGCCCAGGGTGGGGGGTGCAATTGTGCACACACCAGCCTCACATGTTTCCACACAGTCTTCAACTTCAGGAGAGGCAATGGAGTTAGCACAGCACACACAATTCCATAAAGTTCTGAGACTATTTTCTTTATCAATTTTTACTCATGATTAGTACAATAATAAAAAATCTACTCTGAAAGAAGTGTCATAATCATAAAAAATGTTTAATTTCAAGAAAGATGAATGAAGTTGTAGCTCAGTGAAAACCACAGTTCTATCAGGGATGGAGGTTTGCCAGCTCACCCTCTGTTGGAGCAGCAATGATGACTAGGGAAGGAATGATGATCAGTGTGTGGATGGGACTTATTGCTGCTCACAGCAGGGCTGAACTCATCACCTGTTTATACTGTGCTCTCAGAAGACAGACACATAGTCACAGTCAGATGCAGGAAGAGAAGTCATCAGTTTTGGAGGCCACAGTGGGAAAAGAGAAAACAGAATCAATCCTGTTAGGCTCAGTGCAGCTGTCTTATCCTGTAGAAGAAAAGAACAAGGAAGAAATTCAGATCAGTGTCTTAAATGGTGACACTCTGAACAGCTGATCACACAATCAAACTCTCCCAGTCCCTAGAGTCCCCATGCCAAAGGGTTCTATCCTCTGACCTCTCCCTGTCTCACAGCAGGTCCTTTAGAGTATTTTAAAAATGGTAACAGAAGGCTGGATTTCCTAGAAACTTTACCTCCTAGTGCAAAGTAATAAAAGAATAGATCAAAGCCTCTGAAGATGGAGGTAAATGAGGAGGTATGGGCTGGCTGAGATCCTCCATGGGCTTCTTTATATACTGCCACAGGTGTCTCAGGGATCAGGCCCCAGTATAAAGACCAGCAAGCCTGAACATGGCTGCCTCACCATTGACCCCTGGGAATAATCCCTTTTATTAGAGCTCATGGAAGCATCAGGATCTAGAAGGCCTAGAGGTATCTCCTGGTCCTTATCTCAGGGAAGTTTCCAGAACTGTGACTGTAGATCCAGAGAAAGATGAGGAAACATGATAGTAGATTGTACATGAGGAGGACTAACTGGACTCCTGGATATGTGTTCTAAGTAGGAACCTTTCCATCTGACCTCTGACAGCTGAGGATCAGGACTCTGCCACCTCTATCACTGAAGTGATGAATCTGTTCATTATTTCCTTCACAATAGCATTAATGTCAGCACATCAGCACAAGACTGAATAAGCAACTGTGTGGATGAAGCATTTCTCTAATGTGTCAGGGCACACTCTCAGCTGGGCTTGATATTCCCATGGAGACTTGACTCAGACCCTGCCCTTTCCTTACCTTTAGTCCTCTTCTTCCATATTAAAAAAGTCACCACGGCTCCCATAAGCAGAGCTCCAAGAACCAGGCCAGTAACAATTGGCATGTTGGGGACAGAGGGCTGAGGAGGCTCTGACAGAGAATGGAAGGAACAGTGAGGCTTCTGTTGTGCAGCTACCATTCATGACCTTGGTCCAGTTCTCCCTAATACTCCCAATCTTTCTGTGATATACTCTGTGATCACACCCAGTCCTTACCCCATCTCAGGGTGATGGGCTCAGGCAGGCCCTCATGATCCACATGACATGTGTATCTCTGCTCCTCCCCAGAAGGCACCACCACAGCTGCCCACTTCTGGAAGGTTCCATCTCCTGCAGGCCTGGTCTCTATCACATCCAAGTCCAGAGTTTGGTTGCTCCTATCTCTCTGCCAGGTCAGGGTGATTTCAGCAGGGTAGAAGTCCAGGGCCCAACACCTTAGAGTGATTTCCCCATCAGCTCTGACCTTACGGGTCACATGAATTTTAGGGGTATCTGAAGGGAATAAATTAGAAAATTCAGGCTTTTTGCATTCTTCCTGAATATCCATCACTGTGCATGTAACCTTGGTTTGAATGGATGGATGGGACAGTTGGCTAGAAGGAGAGATGCCAACCCCATACATCAACCTAATCTCAGGATAAGGATGGGGCAATCTATTCCTTGGAAATTTTCAGAATTAGCATGAGCCAGCACAGAGCAGGGGACTCTGGATCTCCCTCTATGAATATGAACTCCTGGTTCTGACTGGATGAAGACTGAGACTCAGCAACACTGGGCTCAGACCTCCGAAGTACATGGACAGTGAACAGGCATTACAGAGATCATGGTTCTCAAGGCAAATGGAAGGGAAATGCTGCTTAATTGACAGACTGATCTATCCTGAGAGAAGGCTTAGCCCTCTGGAGAGTCCCTCTCTCTTATTGAATTAGAAAACCCATGACACTCTTCCCCCTGCAAGACTGAGTTAGTATTCAGCTTCTCCCTGCTGAGGAGGAATCCTCAGGGGACAGGGGTTCAGTGCAGGAGTGGTAGTTTCTTTTCTTACCTGTTCTCAGCAAAATCTCCTTCCCATGGTCCAACTTTTCGAGGATCAACTGCATACATTCACCCTCTATGAAAGTCTTCGAAGATTGTGCCATACCTGACTCCTCCCAATTTTGCCTCAGCATTTCTGCTGCCTTGCCAACTGCAGTCCAAGTTCTCAGGTCCTCATTCAGTGCAATGTAATCATGGCCATTGAAGAGTAATTCATATTGTCCATGACTGAAGTTCCCTCCAGGCAACATATGGCAGGCCATCAGGATCTGCAGTGTGTGATTTCCTGCCCAAGTCCCTACTGTCAGCCATTCTTACAGGGCCAGGTCCCTTGGGGCCCTCCAGTGACTCAGTCCCTCCCACTTGGCCTTTGTAAATGGCCACATTTGAGCTTAAATTGTGCAGAAAACCAGGTCAGCGTCCCAAGGCTCTTTGTAGCCTAGTTTACACGGGTCACATTTACTGGGGTAAATCTTGGATATGGGGGACTGGAGCAAACCCATTGGGAGCTAGAAATTTGGGATTTCTGATTCAGGTTCACTCACCAACTTCACTTTGATTATAGATGTGAAGCATTTCCTTCAGTATGTTGTCGTAGATGTCTATTACTCTCAGCATGTCCTGGGTCATCATCTCCCAGTACTCTGGCTCCTGCTGATCCACCCATGGTGCACAGTGCTCCATCCTTGGAGGCTCTTCTCTGCTGTTGTATCTCGAAACATGAATGTCATCCAAATAGATACCATAGATGAATTGGGGCTCCAGCAAGTCAGGCGAGGTGAGGAGAGTGTGCAAAAGGCGCATGGAGTGTGAACCTAGGTGCAGTGGTCTTTAGATCTAGACCTCCCACCTAGGACCCTGTGCTGCTCCCCACATCCCTCCCAAAAGAGAAGCGAGCAGGGACTGGGGCCGTGATATTAAATAAACAAAGAAGGTCCTGGCTGTGCTAGGGGAGAGACAGATTTTCCTGTGCTGCAGCCCCAGGGTCCTTTCATCTCCCAGGTTAGGTCCTTTCCCTCCTGACACCCACACTCACCCTCTGGATGCCTGGTCAGGGTCAGGTTGGCCAGGAGCAGCAGGAGGAGAGCCTTGGGAACTAAGGTCTTCATCCTGCTTGAAGAGTGGACACTGAGTCTCTACTAGTGTGTGTTCAGTTTATAACCTTGATATGGATTTGGCTGATTGGCTTCTCTAAGAATTCCCAATGGTAGTGATAGAGAGCATTGTGGTTGGGTCATGGAAAGATGAACTCCTGGAAGAGAAATCTCCTGGGCCCTGCTTTCCTGGCTCAGACCCAGCTCTGGGACCTCGGATCCTAGGAGCAGTGTATGGGGACAAGTTGCTTACCCTGGTTGTTTTCCACTCATCCTGGTCAAAATATCCTTCTGAGTACAGCCCAGAGGCCATTGAGTCACCATTTCTCACACTGAGATGTCAGGATGTCTATAGTATCTTAGAAATTCATTGCTCTCAAACGTATTTACGCTGGTTTGGATTATATCAATCCATGTTCACTACATTAGGAATTGAGATTTTTTTAAAACATGTGTTTCATTGAACATTAATGATAAAGTGCATATAAGCAGAATGTTTACAAAAAGGAATGGCTGTTTTCCAAAATACATTGATATTGTGAAACTGATCAATATTTACATGCCTGCCTGTACTTATCCTCAGCTTTCCCACTAGACATATCTTGGATCTGATTCTCCTTTTTAACCTTTTAATTTTGTACACAGTGTAGGAAATGCATCTTCCCAATTGTACAGGGAAAATAGTTTTAAGATTTATTTTTTTGTGTATATTTGTTTGTGTATGTGTGTGTGAATGTTAGGAGTACAGTAGTCTTTGGAGGCCAGAAGAGGAGTAGGAAGGACAGGAGTTTGTCAGCTCCCAGACTTCTGGGACTCCAGCTGCGGTTGTCTAAAGAGTTTAGCCATCTCTCCATCCATAGGGGAGAGTGTTTTTCTTAACACCTTCAAATCATTTTACTTTTGCCCATTTTTTTTTTTAGGTTGGACTGAAAGTCACAGACATGCACATGCTTCTGTCTCCTGAGTACTGAGATAAATCCATGGGCTACCACACAAGGCTCACTGGAGATTTTTATCTTTGATATTTCTATAGGGTCATCCAGGTGTTACTTATGTTCTGGGACTTAAAATATCATTCACTCCTTCACAGTTTTCTGCATCCATGTCCATAGGAGAATCAAGTTCATTGAGTGTATTTTGTGTTATTAAATTTTACATTTCAAAATTAGAATATTATTGACCAAGTTCATCATGGTACATATTTTTAAATTAATCTTTATCATAAATAATGGGTAAAGACATAGTGTACAGTTTTCCTTATTCACTTTACAACTCTAATATCCAGGATGAGGCTATGATTGGCTTTTCTAAGAATTTCCACTGGGAGTGAAAGAGTCCTGAATAGTTATGGAAAGATTAAGGACTAGGAGAGCAATTTCCAGAGCCCTGCTTCCTCACCACAGATTCAACTCTGTGCCCTGGTATCCTGGAAGCAGAGTCTGGAAGCAAAACAAGTTGCTTACCCTGATATCTGTAATTGTCTTACTGACAACATCCTTTTGGTCCTAGTCCAGATGCTGGTCTGGTTGACAGAATCAAGGAAGTAAAGGAAAGCAAAGACTTATGTCTATGTCTGAAATACCCAGCTCTCATCTGGGTTTCCATAGTTTCAATGTTATGTCATGGTTCTTTCCTGGCCAGCTCAGTTTACCTGTCTTGGCTTTCTGGTGATCTTATCTCACAGGACTGTGAGGGAGGCAAGGAAATTTGGATGGTTGTTGGCTGCTGTGTCAGTGGTCATACAGTCTAGGTCCTCAGAGAACATAGAGGAGAAAAGGCAGGAGCTGAGGAGGATAATGTGCTACTTACTGACAGAACTCTGATGACTCCCATCTCAGACACCAGTGCAATATCTCCACATGACACCAGGCTGATCCCTCCACAGATGCTGAAACCCAGTCATCGAACACAATACTCTGGACACCTATGGGGGATCTTCTAAACACATGATATTACCCAACTTGGGAGTGCAATGGCCACTGTTCTATATCTATGAGAGTTAGGATCCAGGTGTCTTTCCTAATACACTTTTATTGAACCCTATACAGATGTGGTCTCCCTTTGCCTCATGTATATCCA